TATACATCTATGACACACACGGGCTTGATATTAAGTGAGCTAAAGGTAATAAAAAATGATTTCTCTTATAAAGTCTGTTGTCTTCTTGTAGTGACAAATTTGTTGGTTGATATATTTTGTTCTTTAAGACCTCGCACCTGCAAAAAACTATAATTAATAACATGTTATAGCAATTTCAACTTCTGTTATGACTAATAGATTGTCTTTTGGATTATTCAAAAAAGATGAACTCTAGGATTTCAGGAATCTCCTGATAAGTGCTTTGCCACTGTAGACTACAAACTTTCCTACTGAAGTCATGTCGGACACAGCTCCGGGAGACAGCTCTACAGGTGTTTGCGAGACATAAAACAGAAGTGTGACTTCTTCTGGTGGGCAGACAGTCCGTCGGATTTCACTGTCGATAGTGATCGGGGTTGGATGGTATCCTTAGAGGACGACGTAGATCATGACATATGTCGTTTGGATTTTAAATTTAATAATATTAATTTTTTAGTTATATATTTAATAGTATTTTTCTTTTTTTATCAATCTTGATACGCAATGTTAAGTGAGGTTTGTATCTTACTTTTTATACTGTTATGAAATAGTTTTTATCTTTTCAAGTCATTTTTTTCTTCTCAAGTATCAAATATATTGCTATGATAGTTCTGTTGCAAACAATATTACTACAAAAGGGAAGAATGATCATTTATCCAGAAGTAGGTGCAAAATAACAGTTTTCTAACAGTATAAACCAAACAACCAACCAACTTATTCGGATCAGCTGCTGATCAACAACTTATCTGGATTAGCTGCTTATTAATAAACTGTAGAAGCCCCAAACAATCCCTATATCACAAATACAGTGTAACACTCTTGTGTAGCTGCTATTGAAAAAGTTTGGCCAATAGTGGCCTATGAGGATGACCGAAAAGCAGTGGCTATCAAGTGGTTGCGAGGAGGCAGTTGGTAGTAGCCACTGAAAACTATCAACAATGCAGACAACAATCGACAACAGAGAAGCAATGGCTAGACAGTGACCACAAATGATGGTGATGGACATCAACAGTTAAGATAGTTTTTGGGTGGCATGTGGCGATGACTGACAACAACTGCGTGGGATATCTGGCAATGTTGATGAGAGATTGTCAGAGCATTTGCTGTTGGAGACAAACCAATAGTTTATATTAGCTATGTATTTAAAATTATCAAGAATTAAAGGAATTTCAAATGCATTAAAAATTAATTAGAGGAATTCTAAATACATTTTAATTTTATCTACATTTGTTTTTTCTTCCATCAAACATTGAAATTTTTAAAATGCATGCATTCTATTTACAATGTATTTCAAATTGCAGTGACCAAACACTGCCTTAATGAACTTTTAGAATGAGTGGGGTGTAAAAAAGTTATCATTTGCGATAGCATTCTTATCTTTAAGATGAGACTAATTAAGGTGGCTGAATTTCTAAACTGGTATAGTACTTTAGAGCAACAAAGATTGCTAATGTAAGGGTGATTAATTACTAATGCAAATCATCTAGTCAAGCATATATTTTCTCTAGTGTAAAAGGGGTGTAAAAATTTGATGCTCGCCAATATAGCATTCAAAATGGAGAGCGTAATTTCAACATGAGATATTGATGGAATGGGTTATGAAGATGCTATAATAACAAAACATTATTTAAATAAGAAAACATAGAGAACACAATTAATTAGGTTGTTAAGTCTTGCAGCACACATCCAAGATGTTTAAATACAAGATAAAATATTCACTATTATAGAGGATTACAAGGAAATGAGCAAAAGAAAGTTTCGCAAATGTGTAAAAATGTATTTGTTAGTTATGTAATGATTGTGTTTAATGTTTGAGCATTTCTTAAGTTGTTTTGTTAGATTTATGTCAATGCTTAGATATATATCTCTTGAGTGCTTGATTGAAGTAATTAATTAATATGCATGTAATGGAAAGTTAATTGTAAACTAATTGAAGGATAAAATATATCTAATGCCAGTGGTTTTCATTTATGAATGTTGTGACTTAAAAGATAATGCATGACAATCACTCTGTGAATAATTTTTAAGTTTCTTTTGTATTCAATATTATTTAATTAATGTTGACATTTAAAATTCTTCAAGATTCATAATGGTTGAGGGTCCTTTTAAGGTGGCGGTGCGACACCACACCACAATTTTATTTGTTTGGATAAATAACATTTTAGCAGCTTTCCCACCGGGCCTGACTAAGTGCGGTGGCAACTTTCTAGCTCCGATATGACTTTCTCAAAAAGAAAAAAAATTGCAATAGTCACCGCAGTTTTTTGAACATCAGATTATTTTTCAGCAACTTCACAACTATTGTTTAATAAGCTGCAACTGCCCCAAACAGACCCTGAGCGTGATACCTCTGAGTGACTCTATAATCCCAAGAGAATTCCAAAAAACTATTGACAATGTATCCCTTACAACATTATTCGAGAATGTATTTTGTCATCAAGCCTTAATTGTCATCTTATCCTTTTCTTGGGCTAATGTCATTTATTTCTATGGAGTATTTCAAGAATCAAATATGCCCTATCCAATTTATGATTTATGCTATTCAAACTAATTACATCTAGCTTAAGAATAGAAGCCAAAACCAAATTCTCTTAAATATAGCTCATGTAAATGAAAATTTAATAAATTTTATTTATTGCTAAAAAAAACCAAAAGAAATGGCAAAAAAGTATTAGCTAAAAAAACCATATAATGCAAGTGAGGTGTAAAAATAGGTTATAAAAATAAAAAACTCCTTATATATAATGAGTAAATCTTTTGGTATTCGAGATGATGGACAACATTCCTTGGTTTTTATTTTCTCCAAAAAACAATGAGTTAAGAGGATGAGTAAGGGCTGAAATACATTACCTTCAGACTAGAAGTGGGGGCATGAATCACAAGGCCAAAACCCCGTTTAAAAAGATTTAAGCTATTTAAGCAAGGTTCAATGAAATCACTAATTTGGCTTATAATTAACCCTACACATCATTACTTTTATGTGCCTGCAAAAAAAATCATTTAAAGTGGCATTAAAGTTGTATAGAAATTTTGTAGCAGGTTTCTAGAACTACAAAAATGTTAACTAGAAAGTGGTAACATGCATATACAAAAATAATTGTTCCTACTGCATAAGGGATTTATACATGTAAACCTGTTCTATTAAACAGAGAGTGAGAGTAGAATCCATTACAAACATAACCTTCATATTGAAGGCTGGAAGATCATAGTAAATGCAACGAGATTGATGCAAATAGTCCAACATCAATATTTAAATAAGTAAAACATTTTACAACGTAAAACCATTGCAATAGTCGGATCATTAAAGGAACAAAATGATTAATGTGGAGCTATGGGACAAAACTAATAATGAAGCTGGTGAAGCAATGATATATACATAAAGATCAGTTTTACGTGGCCAACAATACTGCCATTAGTTTATTATTTCTTAAAATAGTGAGGGTCAAAACTTAAATTTAATATTGTCTGAATTCAAATTTGATACTATGATAATAATATCTAAACTTTTTACCAACTAAACTAATAGGGACTCAAATGTACAGCAAATAATTGTGAAGTAGACATTTGTAATGGTCATTTTAGATCAACAACAGAGTTAGATGCAATAATTTCTTATTTCTGGGTACATGAACTTGGTAGAAGGAATTACTTCAGAAGTGAGAGTGTTTTACAGGATTAACTGATCTATCATTAATCCATAAGCACTCAACCTCTAGCCCACCAGTTGGGTACAAGTTGAATGCCATTTTTCAGAAAAAAAATATTATGTTCGGTTAACCAGATGTGTAGAACAGTCGTGAATTGCACCATGCCGTGGGTTCGGTGGCGTGGCGCGATCCACGCCATCATCTACACATCATCCAGATGTAATATTTCCTTCCAATTTCAAAGAATTCGAATTCTGCACCTACTGCCATTTTTTTAAAAAACACACTTTCACATAAATATAAATTCGTATGAAAAATTTATACCAGCATATCATTAATTAAATTTGATTAAATTAAATTTTATAAATTATTATATATATTTATAATTTATTATATATACTTTTTGTTAAGTGAAATAATAATTAATTAATCAATGATTTTGTTGCACTCATATCTAATGAACACTTGTGACTATAAAATACATTAAACTTCACAAATTCTTAAGAGTAATTGATCATCGGTATTAAAAAGTAATCCCCCTAATTCAGCATGATCTTATAAACTAAAAATAAGTGAAATGCAACCATTATCTTAATATAATTTATTATTTAAGCATATACTAGCATAAGAAGCAAACTAGTGCCCAACTTCACATAATATTAAGGATGTAAGGAAGAATATTAAAAAACAATAGCTTTTTATCAAACAAAAGATATACAAAAATTTAACTTTATTTAAACAGCGGTTTTATTTTGGTGTATTTAACAGTACTGAAAGGCACATGATCATAGTTACTATTTTCTTTATTTTTTATATTATTTTATTATTTGATAAAATTTATTGGCCAAAAAAATAAAAAAAATATACTCACCTCTTAATCTTCACTATTCATAAGGCATGTAGTACTACTGTCATTTGTCAATTTGTATAGTACCAATGATCAAGTTTTATAGACCATGCTGATACAAGAATTTATGAACTTTTATAACTGCCTGAAAGACTTGGTATATATATATATTTAATGCTGCCAGAATATGGTGGAATAGTAAGATAGATCTGTGTCTTATGTGCCGAGCAATAACAGTAATTTGACATTATTTCAAAAAAGACAAAACCCATGTATTTGACAAGACCAACTTAAGAGAGATGGACATAAGTTAAATAAAAATTTTTAGAAACTAAAACACCCTTAGAAATGCAATAAATATTTCATAAAAGACAATTAAGCACAAGAATGATGATACATAAGAAACCAGACAGACTAATCAAGCAAATTGACAATGAAAAGCATAATCCTACAGATTGAATTCTGATTTAGTTTATGTGCATTTATCACCTTCCTTTCAGGAAACACAATCACGTGAAATGTACTGTGAAGCCTAATTAGAGATTTCATTACAAATTTCCATATTTCTCAAGCATGCATCATACATAATTAACATGATACCTTCCTTCTGCTGTAAATTAATTCTTCCTCTCACCTTTCTCTTTCACCTTCTCTGCGCACATTAATGTTTCTAGAAACTTATGCTTGTCTTCATTCACCATTACTTTTGTTCTTTTTGGGTGCGCAGAATTGTGCAGCCCTAGTAGAAAATGCTCACCTATTTTAACCTTATTAGGATAATCCCACATCTCCCACACCCCAACCCACACATATACCATGCTACAGAAAACAGAAATACATAGCATACAAAAGGAAATACAAAAAAAAAAAAAAAAAGTTGTATGCCTATAAAGCTGCCTCATACACTGCTCCGACGGACAGATCTGTCAAATGTACAGTCATCCACCCGTAATGTTTTCCCCATGCACTGTCCATCCTCTACAATGATTTCTTCTACAAATACCCTAGAATAATGGAATATGTGTAGCTCCCATTCATTTTCATTCGTATAATTAAAGGTGAAAATTAATACAGAGTTTCGGATCTATTGTTTTAATACATAGTATAAGTTTATTTAATTACCCAATCGAGACACAAAGAAGGAAGGAAAAAAAATGGAGGAGAGGGATTGTATGTGTCTAACCTTCATCATCCCTTGGTAGTTTCCAAGCTTTTTCTGGACACTGCATAGCTTTCAAGAGCAGGACGAAACACCTGAAAAACATCACGAAACTATCCACAATAATATATTTAAGAACATATATGAATTTCATAGAATATAAAATTGTGCAATTACAGTTCCATGAAGTTTGTTGGAAGGAAATGAAGAGTGAGGCAAATTAGTATACAATGGAAATAGAACTAACTATAACACGTCAAAATCAAAAGGAGGTGAATGATGGCTGCTAAATTTGGCTGATGAAGAGGATGAAGCCGCGGAGAACGGCTCGGTGGTACCAAGGCAGAGATTTTGAGAAGCAACAGTAGAGCTGAGTTGCAGTCCTATGAACCCGTTGGTCTTAGTTTTATCTGCCTCATCATAAGGTTGGTCTAAGTTGACGCCGAAGAGCCGGACGCGCTTCGGCTTGGTGGGTAGCGGGCTCGACTGGCCGGGGACGGCAGAGGTAGAGCGGAAGTAGAAGAGATCGGAGGGTGGAGGAGGGGTGGGCGTGTGGGGGATGAAGAGGCGGCTGGCGGACCAAGGGGCGGATGCGGAGCGGGCAAGGGAGAGGTAGGGGTGAGGATGGGAGGATGTGGGTGAGGAATGGTAAGAGAAGCGGGGGATGCGGATTGTGTTGGGTGGATTAAGGAGTGGATCTGGTCTACGTTTCCAGTCAATGAAGAGGCGATGGCTGACGGATTCTCCCATTCCGCGGCCGAAGGAAACGGTATCTCCGGCATCTAAGCTTTTTTCTTTAACGAAACGGCTCCAACCCTTGGTCATGACGTAGCTCTGGCTTGAGTTCCAGTAGGAGTATCGGAAACGCCATGGCTTGCCGTTGCGGTCTTCGAAGTTGAGGAGGAGACCACGGTCGTGGGCGGCGGTGTCTAAGGGAAAGTATTTCTCGGCGTGTTGTTTGGGGATGACGAGGCGGTTTAGCTTGCCGACGTCGCTGGGTGTGACGATTTTGTCGAACATGTGTTCTTTTTGTATTGATGTGGGTGGGAATGGAGGGGGAGGGGAGGAAGAAGAAGTTGGGGAGGGAGTGGGAAGGAAAGGGAGGATTTTGGGGGGTTGGGTTGCGGTTGCGCTGTTTTGTTTGTCCATTTCTTCGTCTTCTGAGGATTGGTCTTCGGTGTAGAACTTAGTTTCATTTCTGATGTGGGTGAAATCCATGAGGATGGGAGGTGGAAGTGATGGATTTGAGGATGAAAGATGCGTGTTTTCTTCGTTGGCTGTGTGGGAGAGGAAGTGGGGATTAAGGCGTTGTTTCGGTTTGAGACGGATGAAGCATGGAGCTGAGCTGAGAAACTGAATATTGAGGGAGGGTAAGAGAGATAGAGAGGATGTTGGAAAAATACTCCTGGTTTCCTCCGACTGGTTGGAAGCTTCCGATGAGAACAAAGAGTATAAGTTCCCGAAAGAATATGAGAGCCAGAGAGAATTATCTTCGAAAAACCAAACCTTGGTAGCGAGGAACTCAAGAGGGCGCAGAGAGAGAGAGAGAGAGAGAGAGAGGTAATGAGGTAATTCAGACGTGTAGATGGGGGAGAAGATGAGGAAGGAAGGAATTAGTCGGGTGGCCCATGAATTTTTTTTGCCTTTATATATGATGCAGATAGCTCACGGAAAGAGAGAAGATGGGCTTGACATGCTACCAGATAAATTTTGTGAAGATGCTTTGGATAAAACTAATTTTAGAATTGATGAAACTAATTTGATAAAAAGATTGTTCATTTTTAAATTGTCATATTATTAAATTGTTCTATGAATCATATACAAGAAGAAGAAAAAAAGATAAGTGCTCTATTGAATAGTAAAATGAGGGAATGGTATAAACCTTTATTCATTAAATGATCGTCTATTTATAGACATGTGGGAATAAGAATTGAAGTTACATTAATTTGTGCTCTTATTAAAGCATGGTATGTAGAGGTAATTATGGGGATTGTACAACTGTGGGCCTAGGGCCCAACTGTTCTTCGGTTCGGTCTATGAGGTCGATGATGTGAAGTGGTTAGTGTTGTCGATCAGCCGGATGGATAAGGATCATCATGGGTTGATTTCTAAGGCAAGGATGATTGATTGAAATTCTTATAAAGGTCGGTAGACTGATCCTTCTAATTAACATTGGTTGATCAGATGTATTGTTCCAATCATCAAGCATTAATTTTCGCCATGTGGATTCCTACCGACTAAGTAAGAATAGAACATCAGGCAGAGGGTGAGTCATCTTAACCCAATGGATAGTTTACTCTTTGGGCGAGGAGATTCCACTAAAGGTGATCAAAGCATGTGACTCCATGGTACCTCGAGGGAATCCTTGGTTGTCTCTGTCATCGGGATGAGTCCTTTGGATGTACCCTATCGAATCGGTTGGGTGATCTTTGGCTAGCGTGAGACGTTCGTATTTTGAGTCGCCTGTTCATTTTTCGGTCAGCCCACATTTGTCATGTCATTCATTATTGGGTCGTTGGATTGCCTCGAGATTCATGCAAACAATTTTTCTATTTATATATCTAGTTCACCGATTTTCTTACTTCTTGAAAGCGATAGTTACGATAAAAAAAGAGAATTTAACGCAAAAACAAACAATATTTATTATTACTTACTAACACAACAATTTTATTCTTCTTGTATTTCGTGTCTGTGATCCCAATAAATAGAGTAAAGGTGCACGCTTTTCCCATCTTCCTCTAATTTTCTATGCTCAGTCTATCTAAAATCTGTTCGCCAACATGGTGAACGAGCCATTCAAAGCCGACAGTACAATAAAGCCACATATCGAAGGGCTTTTGAGAATATGAGGCAGGGAACTGACTCCCACTCGAAAGGTGATCGAAACTAGAAAGTGTTGGTGAAGAAACAGAAGACCCTGATTTGGAGTATCACTGAGGTCGTTGGACTCACTCCTCACTTGTCCTTATGAGAAAATGCATGCGGATGAAATGGCTTGAAAGGGGGGCCCATGAGAAGAAAGGTTGCATGGGAGAGATGTCTCAGGTAGTGGAAGATGTTCGTCTAAAGAAACGGTCAGCCATGCCCTCGGCTTCTACCAAAGCTCTGGTACCACTGTCCTGAGAAATAGAGTAAGAAGCTACCGGTGCTTTAGTGCCTCATGGGGTGTTGAATATAGATAATAAAGGATTTGTTTGAGAGGCTGCAGATGCCTCGACTCCAAAATAGAAGACTGGTGAGGAAGGTTAGTTTCTCTTTCACTATTTTAGAGTGGGAATGAATGTCGAGTATAAAGGGTGTTTGTTGGGTCAATTTTTTTTTTCTGAATATTACTTTATTTTTCTTTTTAATAAAGATGTCTCGATCATTGGACTTGTGACTATCGACTGCCCTTTATGGGAGGTTGATGTTGATCCAATCACCAAGGCCGATCGAGGGTCTTCCAAGGGTGCTTCACGCCATGTCATTGTTGGGAGCTTTCTTCCAATTCTCCAAGGAGTGGTCCAGTTGAAGGTGGCCGAAAGGCCAAAATCTTCCAGTTCAAAAGAGTGTTGGTTGTGTGAGATGAAAGATTTGTTCATCCAGATGGTCGAATTTCCTTAGACCAGGGAGATGCGCCAATTAGTTGAGTAGGTGAATAGGTTGGAAACGTTGTAAAATGAGGTGGCCTCTTTTAGTGATCCGGAGGCAGGCCTTTGCGAAGAAGTTACAGTTCACCAAGCAGATCTGCTGACCATCTGGGAGACATCTTCTACTGCTCGGACAAAAGTTGAAATAAATAAGGTAGATAGGTTTAGATTATGAGGTGAACTCTTATACAAGTGGTTGTTATAGGGAGCGTTTATCTCAGCTGAAGTAACTCATGATTAGTTTTGTAAAATATTTTCTTGAGTAGATGTCGAGTTTTGGATGTAAAATATTTTTATTTATGAAATAAAAGTTTAAATTTTTCTTTCTCAATTTTTATGTTCAATTTGACTCCCTTTTAGGGCTGTCAAAACAGCTCGTTGTTCGCAAATAGCTCGTGTTTGGCTCGTTAAAAAGCTCATGTTCGGCTTGTTCTCTAAGTTAACGAGCTAAACACAAACAACATGAACAAATATTTGTTCGTTCGTGTTCAGCTCGTTTTGGCTCGAAATACTACTAATCAATTATATATATATATCTTTGATGAGTAGTATTTTTTAAAAAATTAATTGACTACACGGCTACAAAGATTTACAATCAATTAAAAGTATTAATGAAGAAAATAGAATAAAAATTATTCAATTGGATTCAAATGATGTTTTAAATCTAGCCACAATCCTTAACATCTTATGGCTACGTGATTAGGGTTGTCAAAATGACTCTTTGTTTGTGAATGTCTCATGTTCGGCTCACTAAGCAAACGAGCCGAACACGAACACATTTTTTGAGCTCAAAATATGAATGAGTTGAACATGAGCTAAGTTTGGGCTCGCTCGTGTTCGGCTCTTTTACATCCCTACTCCATTTATGTGGTTTTGGGTGGTAAATGATGTCATTTCCCTTGGAACGGATTGACTTCCTTCCATTTTCTAAAAATAGGACTGAGATTCCAAGAAATTCTCGTGTAGTTGTTCTATTTTCTTAAATTTCTTATGTTATTTTCTTTTTTCAGCTCATTTCTTCGTCTCATTTTCATGGCCCCCAAATATTTCCAAGAGCTCTTCGGTTCCATTCCATCTGAGGTATTTTTCCCAACAAGAGTTGCCTTAGCCAATTGTCGAAGAAATATACATTAATAATTCCTCAACGGGAGATACCTTGCTTGTTTTGAGGAATCCACATCAAGATTTACTCCGTCAGTGCTTCTGAAAGCAACCTGAAGTAAAACTGTTGAGTCTACCAAAACTTTATGATATTTTTGATTAGTTAGTTGATTTTATTATCTTGTAGAAGGAAATGTTGTATCTGTTATTCGACTGATCCATGTCTTATTATGATATCTGATGTCTCCCCAAGAAGTTTTTTCTTGCTAGTTTTGGAGGGATATTCAGTGAGAGTCTTCATGCTCGTGCTTGTACCCCTTGAGGTTTAACCGTCTTGTTTATCCAACCGTATTGATATTCTTGATAAAAATTATTAATTTTTGTTACCTTGTTGATGGCATGTTGTATCTGCTCTCAAACCAGTCCATGTTTCGTTAGTGTGCCTTGATACCTAACTATATTGTAGTGTTTACTCTCTAGATGAGACTGCCTTGATCAGCTAAACTGATATCTCTCAGAAAAAGCATGCAACCTTGTTAGATTGCTTCATGCATTTACCAGATATTTTGAACATACCTCGGGCTATTTATCCACGTGGTCACTTCTTTGATGCTTTACTTAACAAGAACTATATCAACTTCTTAGTTAGTTCTTCACATGAGATTATCCTTGCTTGTTGAGATTATTTATGAATACTCTAGCCTTTTTTGTTGACTAGATGACCTTGGTTATCTGGTAGACATATAGTCTGGGTACATATCTCCTTGAATACTTGATATACACATACCTCCTTGACTATCTAGCGTCGGAATACATATTTTCTTGACACTTGATGATGTTCCAGTTAGGGGAACTGTCATTCTTGTTTGGCCAGACCTTGATGAGAGCGTCTCATTTTGAGGCATATTGGGCTTTATAGTTGCTTGCTCTTGATTTCTCTTGAACCATATGACTTTATATTTTGTTTTTTTAATGAGAGCATCTTTGGTTTTTTAGTGATTTGATCTTGATGTCTCTCAAACCATATGACTTTATAGTTGGTTCTTTTATGAGATCATCTCTAGTTTTATAACCATTTGATTAAAATAAAAATATAATTCAAAAATTCATGAAAATTCTTCCTAGAGGTCATTTGACCTAGGAGAACCTCCTAAAATTTTCATAAGGACAAAAAAGATGTTTTGGTTAATTAAATTAATTAGCATTGAAAATTCCTATTTTTGGACCAAAATAATTATTAAAAATTAAATAAAAATAAAAATAAAAAATATATATAAATTCTTTTTTGATGTGTAAATTAGCCCATGAGTAGGGTAATAACAAAGTTTCAAAGTCTTTAGAGTTAAATTTAAGGAGTTATGAAGTAAAAACCCTATGGTTAAAATGGTAATTGTGAAATTTTGAACTCCAAATTAAGATTTAGGCCAAATCAAAGGGTAATTGGGTAATGATTATGATAATTAACTCTCTAAAGTGATTGAAACACAGATGATTAAAGGGTAGGAATGAATTCACTTCATTTTCTACAAAAGGTAAAATTTTAATTAATCCAATTGTTATGGGTTGGAAGATAATTAAGTTTTTGATTATCTTAATGTGAGAGGCCTGAGTTAGGAAGATAATAACTCACTAATTTGAATCCCCAAATTACTTGTTAAATGATAATACAATCTTTTAATAAGAATCAAGTTCATTTCATTTAACATTTTCAAATTACAAATTTACCTATAGAGATGTAAGTGTTTGGTAGTGAACTAGGGTTAATCTAAAATCATTTAATGAGGCTTAAAAAGCCAAAAAAATCAATTACAAACACCATTAAAACTCTCGAAGCTCAAGTTCAATAAAAAAAGGGTCCAAAATTCTT